TTAGAAGGAAGGTAGAAAATTGGGAAAGAATTTTTAGAACCAGTCTCTCTGATAAAGGCCTCATTTCTAAAATATATAGAGAATTAAGACAAATTTACAAGAACACAAGCCATTCCCCAATTGATAAATGGTCAAAGGATATGAACAGACAGTTCTCAGATGAAGAAATTAAAGCCATCTATAATCATATGAAAAAATGCTCTAAATCGTTATTGATTAGAGAAATGCAAATTGAAACAACTCTGAGGTACCACATCACACCTATCAGATTGCCCAATGTGACAAAACAGGAAAATGATAAATGTTGGAGAAGATGTGGGAAAATTGGAACTAATACATTGTTGGTGGAGTTGTGAAATAATCCAACCATTTTGGAGAACAATTTGGAACTATGCCCAAAGGGCTACAAAAATGTGCATACCCTTTGATCCAGCAATAGCACTTCTAAGGCTATATCCCAAAGAGATCAGACAAATGGGAAAAGGACCCACATGTACAAAAATATTCATAGCAGCTCTTTTTGTGGTGGCAAAGAATTGGAAATTGAGAAGACGCCCATCAGTTGGGGGAACGTCTGAGCAAGTTGTGGTATATGAATGTAATGGAATACTATTGTGCTATAAGAAATGATGAACAGGCTGACTTCAGAAAAACCTGGAAAGACTTATATGGTCTGATGCTGAGTGAAGTGAGCAGAACCGAGAGGACTTTGTACACAATAATAGCCATGTTATGCAATGACTAAGGTTGTTAAACTGAACCCTTCTCAGCATTACAAGGATCTAAGACATTTCCAGAGGCCTCGGGATGGAAAATACTGTCCACATCCAAAGAAAGAACTATGGAAGTCGAATCACTATCACTTATTTTTACCTTCTGTTGAGTTTTGTCTCATCTTTCTGATGGTTCCTCCTATTGGTTTTAATTTTTACTTACAACTTCACTAATGTGAAAATATGTTTAATGGGTATGTAAATGTAAAGCCTATATCAGATTGTGTGCCATCTTGGGGAGGGTGAGGGGGAGGAAGGGGGAGAAATATTTTCAACTCAAAAGCATGTGGAAGTGATTGTTGACAAATCAAAATAAATTAATAAAAAAAAATTAAGCCTTTAAAATCTTGAGAATTAGCATGCTTTTTAAGTTGAACCTTCTGAATGAATGAGATTTCCCTGTTAGATAACATCTAGAACAAGATTAAAATGAGCACCTTTACCTTTGAATGAAGAAGTTACCTGAAAGTCTCTTTACTAAATATAACTTTTGTATGGGAGGCCAACTGAAATCTTGTGAGACCAATTGAGTAAGAGTTGGCTGTGCTGCTTGTTTTGTCTACAGTCATCTAGAGAGACTTCAAATCTAGCTTGGCTTCAGCTAGGTCTGCCCTTTTAAATTCACTACTTTTCCCACATGCTTTCTGTTGTCCTTCTAAGCTAAAACAAATAGTAACCTTCAGCTCCATTCATCCAAGGATCACTATTGTTAAAGAAAGCAAAACAGAACATCTCTAGGCAACCAGTTTGAAAAGGAACAGAAAAGATTTTCTTGTTAGCAAGACATGTGCCTGACACTCTTTTGATTTTTGCAATATATACATTTTGTGTTGTTGTTTAAATAACTCAACATACCACACCCTTCAGTGAGCATGGTATTTCAGTCATACATTGATGACTATTGTAAATCTACATGAATTTTAAGCTTCTTTCTTGCTTTTCTCTTCAATTGGTAGCTTAGAGGTGAACAACTAGACGGTTGTGCTTTTCATAGCCAATACTAGGAGGAAGGACGTCTAATACACATTGAATTCACATCAAGATTATAATATCCCCAAAATGAACAACCCTTAGGTCTTCAATTTCCCTTTTACTATATATTCCGCAGATGTATACCTTCCATTTCTTTAGGCCAATATTGAAAGGAGGATCACAAACTATAAAGGACAAATTCCATGTAGATCTTCACAATATCTTTCCCATAATCTTGGTAAAGTGGATACATCACTGGCCTTTAAGTCAGGAAGACTTAGACATTACATGTGTAGCCCTGAGAAAGCCACTCAGCCTTTTAAAGACACAGTTGCCCCATATGTAAAATGGGGATAATGCTAGTATTTTTCTCACATCTCTCATGAAGATCAAATTAGACAGCATATGTAAAGCACTTTTGAAAGTCTTAAATAGACATCTCTAGGGTGGGGAGAGGGTTAGGAAAAGAAAAAAGGGCAAAAAAAAGAAGTTTACATAATCATTTTGTTGTATATTCGAAAGGAATAGCAAGTTGTGCATATTAGATTTGCAGTTTCATGTTCAATTCTCTTTTTCACTATACTATGTTATGGAAATGCTTGTTTTATTCTATAAATTAAAAATAAAATACATTTTAAAAACATTATATAAATATCAGTTATTATTATTATTATCATTATTGTTGTCATTGTTTTGAGGAGCAGGAGTCATAGTATCGACAGTGATAGTGTCATCTAGTTCTTTCATTCCACTCTCTTGGCCTATTATGACATCTCACCTACACTGCTTTAACATTCTGTTTTTTTTTTTTTTTAAGTTAGGCAATGGGATTAAGTGACTTGCCTAGGGTCACACAGCTAGTAAGTGTTATGTGTCTGAGGCCAGATTTGAAGTCAGGTCCTCCTGAATCCAGGGCCGGTGCTCTATCCGCTGTGACACCTAGCTGCCCCTTGCTTTAATATTCAAACATCCTCTATTCCACTGCCAAATTGCTATTCCTAAAGCAATTCCCCTGGTCTAGAAGTTCCAATGACTTCCTGTTCTTTGCAGAATAAATACCACCTCTTTTGTTTGACATCTCAAGCCCTTCACTTTCTGGCCACAGACTACCCTCCCAGGCTTATCATCCAAATTTCCCTTTATATACACACACTAGATTTCAGCCAAACTGACTTATTTACTGTTGTCTATATAGAACATTCCATGTTCTATACTTTTGTCCTGGCTGTCACCTGTGCCTAGAATATACTTCTTCCCCATCTCTACCTCTTATCTCTAGCTTCCTTCAAGGTTTAGCTGAAGTCCCTGGCACATGGTAGATGTTTACTATATGCTCATATAATAAATGATTGAATTTTGCATACTTGATTTTTTTGTTATTTTTCTGAATCAAATTTTGTTCTCTCCAGATGAGAATATGGATATGGTATAACTTGCATGTTGTCACTAGAACAGGCATCAGAAGCTTTAAGTCATTTGTCATTTACCAAGCAAATAAAGTCCAGACAAGTTAGCCAGATGTTCAAAAGCCCTCTACAATCTGTGTCCACTCTATCAATCTAACCTTACCCCATGTGTACTTCATGTTGCCCCCAAACTGGACAGCTCACTATTCTCTTCGCCTTCCTGATTTTGCTCATGTTGTTCATTAATCTATCAAGGGGCTGACAAATCCATTTTTTGTAAGGTTAGTGAGCTAAGAATGGTTTTCACATTTTTAAATAGTTGAATTAAAACTATTTTTATTTTATGTTTTTAAAAAGAGTCTAATTTAAGATGTGAAAAACCATGCTTAACTCATAGGCCGTATAAAACCACACTATTGCAGGATTAAACTTTTGGTGCCTTAACCACTACTTCATCTCCATCCAATGAAATGTGACCTTGAAGGGAACAGGTATAGGAAATAGAGCTTTGGACTTGGAATCAGTAAGGCTTGGTTTTGGATGCCACCTCAGACCCTTACTAGCTCTGTGACCTCTGGCAAATCATGTCATTTCTCTGTCTTTAGTTACTTCATCTGTAAAATTGGTTGGACTCAATGACTTTTAAGATTCCTAGTCTGTGACTAGGATGGGAAGGAAGGAAGGAAGGAATGAAGGAAGGAAGGAAGGAAGGAAGGAAGGAAGGAAGGAAGGAAGGAAGGAAGGAGGAGGAAGCTGCATTGCCCAACAGGAACTGGTTGGTTGGGTCCCCAGTGGAGCAGCTAGTACTGCTCACAGGTTTTCCTTCATTCTTAAAGAGGAATATAACACCAGGAAGGTGATGTCATGACTTGCAAGTGAATTGGATTTAAGTGAGGAAGGGCTGTGCAAAGTCACCAGCCTCACTCTCTCCTCTAGATCCTTCTTGGTCCAGGGGCAAGATATAGATCAGGATGACTGGAGATGGTCCTGGATGGCCTTTTTAAGCTAAGGTCTTTCCCAGGTCTCAGTTTGGCTGAGGGAACATCTATTCAGTGATTAAGGCTAGGTAAGAAATGAGGGAAAGAATGGCCTTTTTTATCTAGTCAAAAAAAAAATCAATCTGGAAGGGGAAGGCTCTTAGAGTTTCTGGCCAAAGCAGAAACATTTGCAATTTATACTCTGAGCCATCAGGGCCCAAACAATGACTGAGTGAGGCTTGGGCTGAGAAGTATTGTTGGCCAATCACTGAGAGACAGAGTAATTTGGGTTTAAGGCATGGTCATTAAAAAAAGAAATCACGCCTGTAAACCCCAAGATATCTTGAGAGGTTTCAGCATCAAAATTCATATTCCTTTGGGCAGAGCACCCACAGGCACCAACTTAAAAGTGATTGATTAACAAAGGTGCTAGCTATTTAAATTACTTCCTCTCTACTTCAGAATTGTTTTTGTGCTTCAGTCATTTTGTGACTCCATTTGGGGTTTTGTCAGCAAATATACCAGAGTGGTTTGCACTTTCCTTCTCCAGCTCATTTTACAGAAGAGGCAACTAAGGCAAACAGGGTTAAGTGATTTGCCCAGGGTCATACAGCTACTGTCTGAGGCCAGATTTGAGGTTAGAAAGAAGAGTCTTCCTGATTCCAGGCCCAGCACTCTATCCATGCACCTCTGGCTGCCTACTTAACACTAGGTCAATATTAATCCCCTTGCTGCTTACAGACTGCCCAAAACTATGCTATGGTGAAAAAAATATCTAGACCCTTGAATGCCTGAATCCTGAAGTGATATTAGTGACTGCAGTTTACAGCCTTGAGGTAACAGAGCATACTGTTGTTTTCCTGTTGTCAGGGATGTCCACAGGTAGGCTACTGCCAGAGTGCCATTGTAGAGGAATGATGAAGTCCCAGAATTAAATTTGTGCTACAAGAAGACCAATACAATGATCCAAAACAATTCTGAAGGACTAAATATGCAAAAAAAATATGGTATCCATCATCAGAGAAAGAACTGATGGAATCTGGATGCAGACTCAAGCATATTAAAAAAAAACACCTAAAAACTTTTAAATTTTTTTGGAGCATGCATTGTCTTTTGCAACATGGCTAATGTGGACATATTTTGACTGACTGCACAATCATAAGCTACATCAAATAGCTTGCCTTTTAAAGGGGGGTAGAGCAGAGAGGAAGAATTTGTAGCTCAAAAGTTTAAAGAACTAACACTAAATTTGTTTACATGTAATTGAGAAAAAACAAAATTAAATGCAAAAAAAAGAAAAAGAAAAATTGATGCTATGAAGAACACATTCAAGAAAGATGATAATAAATTTTAAAATTAATTTTTTTTAAAGGCTGTTGGTCCCTGAGTAAGAAACAATGGAATGGAGGAGCTGAGTAGACTCATGGAACTTCCACTGAGTAAAGAAAATAAGACGTCTGCAAAAATAAAGGCATTATGAATAGTTTTAATGAATAAGACATCAGCAGATGAGCAAAACACAGGAAACTGAGGCAAAGCTTTTTACAAAATAAACTTTCATTGCTACCTTCTGTTTTTTTCCCCTTGTTCTTCCCCTGTAGAACTTCCTCTCCCTCTTCTCAGAGCTATCACAACAAAGAAGACAATCTAAAACAATACTGATACTGTCACTCTGTCTTCAATAAAAAATCCAATCATTTCTACCCCATTCTCACTGACTTGAAGGATTGAAGGACCAGGAAACTCTGGTCTAAAGTGCCTACACCGAACATGAGAAGGTCATAATTATGAAAAAAGAAAAAGGTGAGAACTCAGCCCCTTTGAAGAGACTAGAAGCACTTTGGGGCATAGGAGTTCTCACCTTTTGAGGAAGGGGTAACAAGACAAGCTTACAGGGGCAAACTGTTAAAAAGTAAGACGCTAAAAAGGCAGTTCTGAAATCTTTTGTTGGCAAAGCACTGAAAAAAAAGAGCTAGTGTTTTATTTTCCGAGTGGAATATTTGAGAAGAAATCAGAAGTAAGTCGCCCTTACAAAAAAGAAAAAAAGAATCTCCATATTAAAAAAATAATAGCATGTGAGTCCAATCAATGAATCATAACGGAGAGAGGGGACAAAAAAGAGAGGCTGAGAGGGGAAATACCAATGTTTAATACATAATGTCGTTTATAGGGGAGAAGACAGTTTGGGGAAAGAGGTAATGTGTGGGGGTTTTTCCTTGCTCTGTTTCCATCTCAGAACAACTGAAATGTAATGTCCTGAGGCTTGGAAAATTAGATGGGTTGTTGCCAAATGACCCAATTAGGAGACCTTTGAAAGTACTAAGAGGAAGTAAAGATGTTATCTTCAAGAGAAGGTGGTGAATTGTGGGATTAGAAGAAAGGTGAGACTTCAGCTGTAGAGAAGAGCCTGGAAGACCTCTCAAAAATTAGTTCTCACCTTTTGGGGGTGGAGTAAAGGGAGGGACAAAGCAGAGGAAGAGACATAAAAGGACTCCTACAACTCTGCTAGTATCTTTTGCTGCCAGAGCTCAAGGAGAAGAGCCAGCATCACCTCTCCTGCCAGGGATATCTGAGAAGCAAGGAACCAGAGGCCTAGGAATACAAATGCAAGAGACTTAATTGACAACCTCCAGACAGATCTCACTTGCTCCATCTGCCTGGACTACTTCATTGACCCAATGACTGTCACATGCAGCCATAGCTTTTGCACAGAGTGTCTTCTCCAGTGCAAGGAGGGAGCCAATAAAACCTTAAACTGCCCAGAATGCAGAGGAGTCATCAAATACAGTGATTTGATGTCCAGCAGGAATCTGTAGAATCTGTCTATGACTGGCAAAATGCTCAGACCTCATTTGCTGCAGAGCATGGTGGGCCTGACCACCTGTGATCAACATAAGGAAAAAAGGAAGTTCTTCTGTGAGGAAGACAAGACAGTCCTCTGTGATTGCTGTTTATTAGCCCCAGAGCACAAGGACCATCAAGTCCTTCCCTTAGAAACAGCTGCTGACAAGAGCAAGGATAAGCTCCAGGAGACATTGACTGTCTTAAAGAAAAAAGAAGAGGAATTTAAAATGGCATTGGATGAAGTGAGAAGGAGAGAGACTCACTGTAAGGAGGCTGCCTCCACTTTGAAACGCTCTGTTATTTCTGAATATGGGAAAATGCACCAGTTCTTATGGGATGAAGAATATCAATACTTGCAAGAAATGGACCAGGAATCTAAAGACAATCTGGTCAAACTGGAGAAAGGCAAAGCCAAGCTGTCCCAACAAATCCAGAATCTGCAAGGAAGGATTGTAGAAATAGAGGAGAATTTGGACAAGGTGCCCTTGGAAATGCTGCAGGATATGAAAGACACTAGGAAGGAGGAGCTGCTACTTCAAGAACCAGAGCTTGCTTGCCCTCAGTGGCCCACCTGGTCCATCACAGGCTTGAGAGAAGTGCTCTTGAGTTTCCAGAGGGATATAACTCTTGATCCTGAATCAGCCAATCCTCATCTCATCCTGTCTGAAAACTTGAAGAGGGTCCAGTATGGAAGTGTCCCTCAGAATCTGCCTGACAACAAAGAGAGATTTGACATTGCTCTTGTTGTTTTGGGGGCCCAGACCTTCACCTCAGGCAAACATTATTGGGAAGTGGAGGTGGAATATAAGACAGTGTGGGAATTGGGCATCTGTAAAGATTCATCAGCAGAAAGGGGAAGTTCTCCTCCTCATCTGAGGATGTGTTGACTCTAACAGGCTTCATATCTAGAAATTGTTTTTGTCTCTGGAATTCACAAAAGGGCTTTCAATTCAGCTACCCTATACAAAAAGTGGGTATTTTTCTTGATTATGAAGAGGGACATATAGCATTTTATGATGTCACAGACAGATCCCTTATCCACAGTCTCTCAAACATAGCCTTTGAAGGACCTCTTCGCCCTTACTTCTCTTTTGGCATTCCTAATGAAGAAAGTGCTCCTGGATCACTCATTATCTGCCCCAGTAGTAATCAGTAGAGGACTGTCAATGATGCTAATTACTAAGGATAACTTCCTATGACAAGTGACTGAATTTATATGACACTGTAAGTGATTTTCTATTTATTTGAGCTCATGTTGAAATGGTGAATAAAGTGATGTATGATTATCAAAACTAATGAGAATAAAGTCTATCTTGTTTGTACTTGCTATTAAAAAAGTGGGGGCTCTTTAAAAAAATGGTAGCTGATCTGCAAACACCTGAATTAGAGATCAGCTAGAAGGAGAGGCAGAAAAGGAACAGGAAAGAAGGACTGAGGTGAGAAAAAAGGTTAGGGTAGACCTAAGTATGGTATAATTTTAAAAAATGAAAATGTTTAAGAAAAGCTAAAAAAAATACTTGTACCAATGAGGCGTGAGGGGAAGAACCAATAAAGAAAAATGAAATGGGGAGAAGGGCTGGTGGTTCCGGAAACCTACTTTCATAGGGAATGAGTTTAAGAGGGGAACAATACATACATCTATCTAGAAGAAAATAAAGTCTTCTAAATTCAGAAAGAAATAAAACACTAAGGAGATAGGGAGGGGAGAGAGGATAAGGGAGGGATCTTTAGAGGGGAGGGTGAGGCAGTAGGTTAATGGGGGTTATTGAAGGGTGTTTAGATGAATGGAAATAAGATGAGGTAGGGATCGTTGGAGGTGGGCGAAGTTCAGTAATAGGAGTGCAAGGTATCTGGTAGAAATAAAGTAAAGGAGTCAAGAGGGAAAAAGAATAAAGTAAAAAGCACAGAGAACAAAAGAAAACTTACAAGGAAGCAAAGAAAAGATGGACAGCTCTCAACACAATGTGAAGTATTTATTATATAGGCTGTCTTGAAATGGAAATTTATTGCTGTATATTTTGAATCCTCTCACATTCTGCTGTGGGCACAGCAATTTTAAATTTTTTTAATTTTTTCTTTTTTTCTTTTATATTATTTTAGTTTTAGTATTTAAATTCATTTCTTTTTTCTTTTTTTATTTTGTATTTAAGTTTAAAATAAAAAAAACTAATTTAAAAAATGGGGCAGCAAGGCAGTACAATGGATAGATCACCCGCCCTGGATTCCTGAAGACCTAAGTTCAAATCTGGCTGCAGACAATTGACACGAGCTTACTTGGGCAAGTTATTTAACCTCAATTGCCTGGCCAAAAAAACCTCCCAAAAAACAAAAAAACAAACAAAACCCCTCCAAGTAGAGAAGGATGAAGAGGGAAATTTAAAATGCTAAATAGGCAAGTGAATAAATAAATAAACAAGCAAAGAAACAAAAAAAGAATAAATGAGTGAAAAAGAAAAAGAGACAATGTTTCTCTTGGATGAAGTCCTAAGGAGATGGGTATGAGAAGCTTATTGCTATGAGTGAGAGATAAGACGACTTGAGAACCATAGTAGCCTCAAGGAACTTACTCTGAATCAAGTGAAATGACATCTACAGAAATAAAGGTATTCTGAATGATTATAATTTAAAAAAGACCTCAACAGATGTGCAGAAAGTAGGAAATTAAGGCAAGACATTTTGCCAAATATGTTCTGATTGCTACCTTCTGTTTTTATACTCTTGTTCTTCCCCTGTAGAACTTCTCCCCCTTTTAAGAACTCTCATAACAAAGAAGACAATCTAAAATAATATTGATATTGTCACCGTGTCTCCAGTTAAAAATCCAATCATTTAAACCCAATCACTACTGACTTGAAGGACTGAAGGACCAAGAAACTCTGGTCTAAAGTGCCTACATGTACACACCATTGTAAACTTTGAGGTCCACAATTCTGAAAAAGGAAAAAGGTGAGAACACAGCCCCACAGAGAACAGAAGCACTTTGGGACATAGGAGTTCTCACCTTTTGAGGGAGGAGGAAGAAGAGGAGCTTAAAGGGTCAAGTTGTAAAAAAGTAAGACCAACAATTCCATTCTCAATTCTTTTGTGGTAGATTCCTGAGGAAAGAGGCAGCCTTATCCTTTCTAAGTTGGATATCTGAGAAGGAATCAGACGTAAACTTCTCTTGAAAAAAAAATCTTTATATTAAAAAAAAGCCATCTCTGTCCAATCAGTGAATAATAACTGTGAAAGGGGGGAAGAGAGAGAGAGAGAGGGAGAGAGAGAGAGGGAGAGAGAGAGAGAGAGAGAGAGAGAGAGAGAGAGAGAGAGAGAGAGAGAGAGAGAGAGAGAGAGAGACTAAGAGGGAAAATACAAAAGGTGAATACATGTGTAGATTATTGGGGGGGAGGCAGTTTAGGGCAAGAGATGATGTTTTTCTGGTTTTCCTTGCCCTGTTTCCTTCTGAGAATATTAAAAATGTGACGTCCTGAGGCTTGGAAATGAGATGGGCTATTGCTAAATGACCCAATTCAGAGACCTTGGAAGTACTAAGAGGAAATAAAGGTATTATCTTCAAGAGAAGGTAGTGAATTGTGGGATTAGAAGAAAGGTGAAACTTCAGCCCTAGAGCAGAGACTGGAAGACAAGAGTTCTCACCTTTTGGAGGTGAAGTAAAGGGAAGGGTTAAGCAAAGGAAGAGACATAAAAAGACTCCCATAACTCAGTGCTAACATCTTTTGCTGCCAAAGCTCAAGGTGAAGAGCTAGCATTACCTTTCCTGAAAGGAGTATCTAAGAAGAAAGGAATCAGAGGCCTAGGAATACAAATGTGGATTTAGTTGAAAACTTCAAGGCAGATCTCACTTGCTCTAACTGCCTGGGCTACTTCACTGACCCTATGAGTGTCAGATGTGGTCATAGCTTTTGCGTAGTGTCTTCTCCAGTGCAAGGAAGGAGCCAATGAAACGTTAACCTGCCCATCAAATACAGTGATTTGATGTCCAAAGGGAAGTGTAGAATCGGGCAAAATGCTCAGATCTCATTTGCTTCAGTGCATGGTGGGCTTGACCACCTGTGATTAACAAGGCGAAAAAGAGAAATTCTCCTGTGAAGAAGACCAGACATTCCTTTGTGTCTCCTATTCATTAGCCCCAGAGCACAAAGATTACCAAATCCTTGCCTTAGAAACAGCTACTGGGAAGTGCAAGGACAACCTGCAGGAGACATGTACTTTCTTATAGAAAAAAAAAAAGAAGAGGAATTTAAAATGGCATTGGATGAAGTGAGAAGAAGAGAGACAAGCTGTAAGGAGGATACCTACACTTTGAAACACTGTTATTTCTGAATATGGGAAAATGCATCAGTTCTTATGGGATGAAGAATATCAATACTTGCAGAGACTGCACCAGGCCTCCATTGACAATCCATTTAAACTGGAGAAGGGCAGGCCAAGCTGTCCCAACAAATCCAGAATCTTCAAGGAAGGATTGTGGAAGTAGAGGAGAATTTGGACAAAGTGCCCTTGGAAATGCTGCAGGATATGAAAGGCACTATGGAAAAGAAGGAGGAGCTGCTACTTCAAGAACCAGAGCTTGCTTGCCCTCAGTGGCCCACCTGGTCCATCACAGGCTTGAGAGAAGTGCTCTTGAGTTTCCCCAGAGGGATATAACTCTTGATCCTGAATCAGCCAATCCTCATCTCATCCTGTCTGAAAACTTGAAGAGGGTCCAGTATGGAAGTGTCCTTCAGGATCTGCCTGACAACAAAGAGAGATTTGACATTGCTCTTGTTGTTTTGGAGGTCCAGGCCTTCACCTCAGGCAAACACTATTGGGAAGTGGAGGTGGAATATAAGACAGTGTGGGAATTGGGCATCTGTAAAGATTCAGTCAGAAGAAAGGAGAAGTTCTCCTCCTCATCTGAGGATGTAAGAACCCTAGCAGGCTGAATATCTGGAAACTGGTTCTTCCTCTGGACTTCACAAAAGGGTTTTCAATTGAAGCAGCCTATACTGAAGTGGGCATTTTTCTCAATTATAAAAAGTGACATATACCATCTGTCACAGACAGATCTTTTATCTACAGTCCCTCAAATACAGTCTTTGAAGGGCCTTTCCACCCTTCCTTCTCTTTTGGTATTCCTAATGAAGAAAGAACCCCTAAATCACTCATCGTGAACCCCAAGAGTAATCAGCAGAAGGCTGTCAATGATGCTAATTATTAAGGGTGACTCTTAATTTGACTGAAAGTGATAGTGAAAATGACTGTTTATTTGAACTCATGTTGATGTGGCCAATAAAGTGATGTATGTTTATTAAAACCAATGAGAATAAAGTCTATCTTCTTTATACTTGCTATAAAAAAAGAAAGGGAGCTTTCAAAAAATGTTAGTTGATCTGTGAGGAAATTTTGAATTGGAGATCATCTGTAATGGGAGGAAGAATAGTTACAGGAAAGAAGAACTGAAAGAAGGAAAAAAGGAAATAAAAATTTCCAAGTAGAGAAGGATGAAGGGGAAATTTTAGAATGCTAAATGTTTAAATACACGAACAAATAAAAAAGAGATTTTTTTTTGGATGAAGTCCTACAGTATCAAACTCAATGGCTCTCAGAGATTGACAAAATCAGACAAGGACTATAGTAGACTCAAGGAATCTTCCACTGAATCAGGAAATATAAGATATCTACAGAAACAAGTGTATTATGAATGATTACAACAAAGAAGAACTCAGGTGCGACACTGCCAGAGGGAGCCCAGGGTTGGCTGGCCTGAGGCAGCTGGAAAGGAGGAGGAGGAGGCTCAGATCCAGTGCAGGAAGGGAAGATGCCCTTGTTGGTGATGCTTCAAGGAACTTTTGTATCAGTGAGAGAATCAGGAGTTTGAGGGTTCTGGAGAAATCACTAAGTCTTCATTTTATGGGCAGCTCCTTGCTCTATACTTACTAAACAATGATGTGAATGATTCCTAATGTCTTTGAAAATGAATTCTTCTGCTATAAAATCCATGAATTCTGAGCTTGGTGGAATCTGGTCAGTAGGACAAAGAATCTGGTAGAGAGATTTCTCAGGAATCTACATGACCCTCAGCTCACATCAGTGGTCTGAGACCATTCACTGCTGGCAGTGAGGAGCATTCTATGAGAGGGGACAGAGACCCTGAAAAGAGCAGATGAAAAGAAG